TGAATTGATCATTCTTAACCAATCTGATGTTCTATCATCGTAAAGTGGATTTGTCACAGTCACATAACATCATATTAACTAACATCGAAATACGTCATTATTTTCGTATAATTAACAGCATAAATGAATAACCTTATTAATTGATCACTGATAACGTTACCAATATGTCGTCGATTAGTCATTTATCCGACGTCAGTAAGTATGACGTTGTAAATAAATGACGTCATTAAATGGTAAAAAAGATTGTCATTATTACATCTTAAATAGATCACGTCAATAATTCAAACTGACTAACTGTGAACGTCAAAATGACTACAACTGGGATATGTATATAAACATATATGTATGTATATGCATGTGTATCTTTTCCTAAATAGCAGAGAGATTTGAGCATTTTTACATAACATGAAACATTATATATTGAGAAAATTTCTTATTGAAAACGGAATTAGAATTTTTTAGTTAAATTTTTTTGGAATTCTAACTAAAATCTAAAATAACTGGAATTCTGGTTGATATTACATATATTTATATATATATAGAAAATATTTCTGGTAAAATCTAGTAAAATTTTTATTTTTACCACAATAATTGTTGGTGCATTTTCCAGCAAGAGACAGTATAACAATAATCTTTTTTTAATATTGGCAAACAAGAAAGATATTATGATTCATTGTGTTAGGCTAGTATTACATTTATCGTATAGAAAGATTTTAAATTTATTGATTGACTATAGGATGGAAAGATCCCGATTTCTTTTTCTTGCAGCCAGTCAATAGGCTTGAAATGTCATATGACAAATGTAGTATCAGCCTCAAGCTGACAAATTTTTCATATTTGTTGATTGGCTGTAGGATAGACAGTTCCGAGGATCTCTCTGTCCTGCACACATTTCATATAATAAAAACGCACAAATGAAATAGCACTATGTCATCTGTATACTAGAAAGCATCCTATAACAATCGTATACTTACTATAAGATTGCCTTGAGGAGAAATGTACCTATTATTTGATTGTTCCTTGTTCGTTTGCACTTGTTCAAATACATTCTGCGGAACATCAAGTATCCCAGCTGTTGTATAGTCGAGAAAGCCACAAAAGGATAAAAGATACACGAACACTCGCATTACAGAGTTAGACGAATAGTTCAATATCGAAAAAATAGTTGGAACAGGATTTCTAGGATGTCAAAGAATTGTATTAAAAATAGAATACAGCGTAATTAGCTGAATTCTTCTTTAATTTTTTCTTTATGAAATACTAAATTCTAATATGGAGAATCGTGCGTTGATGAGTTTTCATTTTTTTATGCAGAAAAGAAAATGTTAATCACATTATGTTATTAGCTACACGATAAAAAAATGATAAAAGATACACGATTATGCTGTGCATATACAGAATGTTCCATTGTTTTAATTGCCTCGGGCAACTATCTTGAAAAATAAGCTATGAGAAAAAAACGTTTCAAGCAAAAGTTGTATGGTTTAAAGGAGATCGGAGTAAAACGTTCGCAAAAAATGCATGGACACTCAACTTTCTCCACCATTAAGGAGTGGTCGATTTTTCACACAAAGCAAGATCCACCCCATCAACTTTTTCCTAAATAGGTGGAGAGATGGCAAACTATTCCAAAACACTATGAGCAAAATTATTTCTATGATCGAAGATTCATTAAAAAGATTTGATGTCCATTCGTCTCTTATCTTTATTATTAGGGACATAATATTATTCAATAGATCTCAAATCTTTTTCATGATTTCATAAATAGTATAAAAGCGCGAAATTAAGCGCGTAATTGCTTCAAACAAAATTTCTATGATTGACTTTAGGCAACAATACCTTGTATAAATTCAATATATTAGCAGATTATAAAACCTTTTCCCTTGAAAAAATATTATGAGTTGTAATCCGTTATCTTACTGCTAGGTGGTTTTGCAGTGCAGTGAAGAGCTCACATTCAATGTTAGGCAAATGAAAATTTATTACTATAAAATTTGAATAATATATGAACATTCAATGAAGTTTGTGACACTGAATACAAAAATATTGAATACAAATCTTCTTTTGCATTTAACAGACACATTAAATACAGTGTTTTCGCTAAGATCGCACAAGTGACTGAATCAATTCAACTTTACCTGATCATTAGATCATCAATGAGAACAGGTAGGAGAGACTAGAAATGGAAATAACATTTTATGGAAATTTATTTAGATTGTATTACAAGCTCCATGTTTTAATATACTTCTATTATAACTCCTACTCATTTCAACGAACACGTTGGAAGAAGCTACTCGGACAACAAAATGTGTCGAAAATCGAGTTAAGACGGGTTTTTTGCATTTAAAAGACGATTTAAAGTGTCTTATGTCACAATTTTTGATGTGTTGTTTGAATACAAATTACTTTTTATGCCCGCGTATTTTAAGAGGGGATTCTGGGGGTCTAGAAACTTGATTTTTAGATTATTTTTACGAATTTTTTTTGAAAAAGGTCTCTTCAAATCAGAACGCTACACCATGATTGCGACTGTTCTGCTCGTCTGAAACGAAAAAATCAAAGAGATTTTTAAAGTATATGAGTTTGGCTATCGTTTGATCTATAATAAAAAAAAATATTAGAAAGAAAAAAATGGCGTCATTTTGAAAATTATTTTCCGATTTTTCCGAATTTTTTCATCTTTAAAGTGTTATAAAATAAATAAAAATAAACATTTTGACTTTATTGTAGTTTAGATGAGAACTATATATGCGTTAAAGATGAGAAATCATGATCACCGCGTAGTGTCTTATTTTTTTTCGTGATCTTACATAAACTGTTATATAAAGCTTATTTCTTAGAAAATTACAATAAAAAAATTCAAAAAAATAACATTCTTTCATTAAAAAACGCTACGAATTAATTCCAACACCTAATAGTAATAAACATTTGACTAAAGTTTTCGAACAAAAGATTTTGCCTATTTGATCGTAATATTTTTATACATTGAAAAACTTTGTTCAACATCAATAGAAGTTATAGGTGCAAATTTAAATGCTAATATTTCCTTAATTATTTATGTTTTTTGTATCATCGGAAGATACTCCAGTCAAGTATGCTGAAATTGCTTTTAAAATAGCAATCACTATTTTTCTAAATGATATTGCTAATTTTCAAAAATATAAAATATGTTATAACATATTCTAATTGAGAAAAACTTATCTTAGGAATCCTATTCGTTATTATATCGGAAAAGAAACTAATCATAAACTTAAATTAAAAAACAATGTAAAATAAACAGTAAAAATAGATAAAGTATGTAAAGTATGTAAATATTGTGCACGTGTGGGCGAAATATACAAAAATGCTCTTATGTGTGAAATATGCAAAAATATGCTGTAATATATAGGGTTTCAAATGCATAATTTCTTATGAAACAAATTTGTATTTAATTTATTTCTTTATTAGTCAAATAAAAAATGCCCTATACATATTTTGATTGACCTAATTATCATACTTGTACATAGTCATAATAAATAGATAAATGTAATTTATTTCTTTCTGTCTGTAAAACATTTTCATTAAAACATTTTCATTAAAACTTTCGACATTAAAAATTTCAAAATTAGAAGAATATTAAAAGACGATAGTGTCATGGTGCTAAGAAGACGTGTTTAATTATATCTTGAAATCGACCGTATATATATCTTTACGTGTTTGTAATCATTCGTTCATGCGCTCAATTCTTCACGCAACATGTTCTGGTGCGTATCTTCGCATAATACAAGATAATTATATATATAAATCTATTTCGAAAAAACTTTGCGTACTTAATAATCACGGAATTTTTTATGACGTATGACTGAACAATACTGACGTAACGTCTTAACGACATAAGGAAATCATAGTGTCAAGATTAAAGGCCATTAGCGGAATGACGCAGCAAAATTATACATATTTTTTATAGCACTAGTTGTATTATGCAAAAATTATAAAGTATTAAGTACATGTTGTACTTATATAAATTACTTTTATTATTTTATATACAAAAATTGAATTAATATCTTACAAAATCTATCAAGGCAATATTTTATATGACCTTGAAAAATTGTTTTTTTCGAAAATGAGTGTTGAGATATTCCTACGATGTATTTCGGACATTTGTACTGTAATAATAGATTATATTCGCGTTACTGCACTTTTATGAAGATAGACAAGAATACACGGATAGAAATAGGCAGGAATAAATGAAAAAATACAGGTAGGCAAGACATTAAAGGGATCATTTTGCGGTCACAGAAAAAAGGCCCTCATGTCTTCAACTGATTACTCGGTGAGGGTGAGTTCTAATAGGGTGAATTCACTAAATAAGTGTTATTGTTACAATCATTCTGTCCACGTACTGACAGTATTTACGTATGTACCGTCTTCCTCGGGCAATGAGTTGCACCATTCTTGCCTACCGTATGCTTTCCGTTATTCGCTAAATATTTCTTGCTATAATTAAAAACTGTGCTTCGTATAAAATTTTCGCAAAAAGAAAATCGTCTTAGAATTAAGTCAGGAATATGACATTTTAAGGACAAACATTTATTCTGCATAAACAATGTAATATTATCAATAACAATATAATCACAGCTATTATTTAAACTATACAATTTGCAAAAAAAATCGTAAGAATTTTATTTTCACATTTGTAGGATTAGCTTCTAGCCGATTTTCTATACACTAAACAAACCACAAATGTATAAATTATGAGTTTTGATTAGCATTAATAAAGTGTAATAATTAGTTTTTGAGAAATAAGGGGGTGAGGAAATAAGGTTTTTTATGAGACCTGTCAGTAACGGTTTTCCTTTATAATTAAAATATTAAAATGTTTTTATTAAAATATATTAGGTGTTGGAATTAATTCGTAGCGTTTTACAAGTGATTGGAAGTACTTTCATTAATGTATTTTTTAATGCTCATGTGAAATAAATAACATTCTTTCATTAAAAACGCTACGAATTAATTCCAACACCTAATACAATTGCAATTTCTTAATTATTAATGTAACATTCCTACTTTTAAGACCTTGAGTAATCTATTGTATACAAGCCGAGGTGCATCTGTGGCAAGTACGAAATCCAGATGATTGAATTTAGGAAACGGCACTGTATATTCGTCCACTACATTAGGTAACAGGCTGATGAGTTCTTTCACGTCCTTAAAGAAACAATTTTGTGATTACTCTTACATTTTCTTTGTGATATAAAGCCTTATATGTATAAACGTTTAAAACATATTCATCTCCACTATGTCTCTTAATGATTTAAATGCTTTTATTCGTTATACTTACTGGGACGGTGGATATCGGATCGTTTTCGGCGTAGAACAACGCGAACGGTGTGGTGATGTTCGCGAGATTGTAATCTGGCGGTTCGGATGTATTGTAGATCTGTAGATTTTTCATGCGACCGTAATCGTATTGGCAAAACTTCCCGGAATTAACTATCTGATGCAAATGTAGTACCATTTTGATCGAGGTACCAGCTGGATTGTGACTCAAAAATGTAGACAACAAAGTCTAAAAATCGGAAACTTATGATCATGCGGGTGAAATGATGACGAAAACCCGATCAGAAAATGGAAATCAGTTTCGTTATTTGCAGAATACTCACATTATTTAATTGCTCCCTATCGAAACCGCAGAAAAAAAATAGCCCATTGGCGCATATTTCTTTATTGATATTGCAGATAGACTTAGTCAAGGAGTATGTAGAACTGATCGGCAGAATCTCGTTTATACCAAGCAGCTGCAACAGCTCCTGCAAAAAAGCATTTTGAATGTAGACCGCGATGTAATGTGCTTATAATCTGATATTACACGTTTCAATGAATACTTGAGAATAAAAAATTTGAAACAAATTTTTGAAATGTGGTTTATACGAAGAAGTTTTAAATTACTTCGATCTTAATTGTAATATTTCAAAGAATATTTAGTTGAAATTATATTCAAATTTTTAGTACTACAGGATGGCACATACGAAGTGTCATACTATTTAATTATCTTATTAAAACTATTCTTGTAAAGTATTGATTTTTTTTAATTTTATGAGCGAATTCTATTCTATGAGCTTCGTGGAAATTCTGTTAGATGTAGTATTATTAGTCGAAATTGAGCGGACATGAAAAGTGTACATATTACTTTAAGAAAAGAAGATGGCATACGAAATGTCATACCATTTGTTTTATACAAAATAAGATTGCCGTCATTGGAATGGCGCCTTGATTAGATTTTTTAAATATTTTAAAAACTAAACAAACTAGTGACAATCTGTTTACGTAGAAAGATAATGTACATTTCCCCACAATCTTCAATGCAACAAGTTTCACCATGAGCTGTTACTAAATGATGTATGTCAACGTAAATTAGTCTTACAGAAATTTTATTTTACACTGCAAAACTATTATCAACGTAAGTACCAGATTTGTAAAATTACTGTATTTCTTTAGGTTTTACGTAATTTTTTTTTATTTTATTGTAACATTTTCTAGAAAATATTGAAATTCTTGTAATATAATGTTGTATCGCTAGTGGCATAAAGAACGTCGGAGGTGGGAACCAGAAAAATCACACGAAGTGTTTTACAAACGAATATAAATTTTATTTGGAATATATTATTAGCGCATATCACTAGTGCGTTTTTAACGCAATGCTGCTGACGTACCTAGCATATATGATTGTGAAGTCACTCGTACATCTTTCTCCTTTTAGAAGGAAAAAAGGAAAAGGATGATCGAGTTTGCAATATTTACTTCTTAATATGTATCTTTCAAATGTATTTTACAATTATTATACTTATTTTTATTTGACGTTAAACCACCTGATTTCAAACTGGTGTGTATGTCTTTATCTCAATTAATCTAATTCCAATTCGTGATGTCACATTACCTAACAGAATTTTCATGAAGTATAGAATTTGCTCACAGTTAAAAAACTCGATATTTCTCTAGTATAGTTTTAACGAGATAATTAAATGGTACTTCGTGCACCAGTTTGTATGTATTTTCGAAATTTCAAAACTTTAACCCTGTTAAAATAATTTCGCTTAAAATTCAAAAGCTAAAAATCTAATTTTACTATCCGTTCGACTATTCTTTTCAATATTTCAATCGCTTATAATACAAACATTGCAATATTTCTGTAAAAGAAAATAAATTCCAAGATCTTTAAAAATGGATTAAAAAGAATAATACTCGAAAAAAATGCGATATCTTGTGTGCAGTTTAAAGTTTTAAAGTCAAAAGATAGAAATAATAAAAGTAGCTTTTTACATATATTGGATGTTTTTTTAAATTATTTCCTGATTATAAATTATTTTTTAAGAGTATTTCCATATGACTTTACCTGAGTATTTTCTAAGAAAATGGAGATCAACCGTAACGGACTTGTTACACGTTTCAGAATAGCCGCAGGTGCAAGACTGATTATTATTCGCACCATTCTAGTAATTTCTGGACGTTCCGTTGCCATTACGTAAGAAACAGTCGAGCCTATTGAATGACCGATATATGCGTGCAATGGTTGCGAAGTCATTTTCGTAATATATAAAATCATCGCGGGTACATCGTAAATGCCCATTTCGTGAAAGCTAATAAAAGATTTATATATGTGTATATATTTTATATATATATATATATATATATATATATAATATTATTACAGAGTATAACGAAATATACTATTATACAAAAATGAATTAATTGATTTTTTGCCATAAATGAAATAATATATTATTATGATAATGTTACATTCAACGCACTAATTATTTTTACTTTATGAACATATATACCTAAAATTCCAAAATTTTGAATTCGATGGAGATAATGAAACATGTGCTCTTGAATGAGTATTTCCACGAAAATTGCCCAACCAAACATCATACCCGTGATTGGCCAGTATGAAAGCTAGTATAAAAAAAACATCATTTACAGCAAATTTCTTATACATGTGTATAAATACAAGTATTAAAAAATAATTAAAATGCTCTAAAAATTACATACATTGTTAAGAATTACATTAAAAAAATATATTTTGGAACTTGATAATTTTTTCAAATAGAAATCTAATCTTTTAGGAAGAGAAATATTTCTAAGTGTTGAAATATGTCATACCAAGTCCTTTATCCTTGCCGAGAATAAGAAAATCGGCACTGGTAGTCAAAAGAGCATGTTGCAATAGCACGGGTGCACCATTTTTACGTGGAATACGATGAAGTGTTAAAAGATAACCATCCTCCGTTTGTACTATGTGAGTTTCCGTGGGGTAACCTGCTTTTCTTATCATCTGTAACTAAAAAAAAATAAAAGTGAAAAAAAATGTTATTAGTTTTGAAGAAAGATCAATAATGATATACACAAGGAGCAAATCAATCGAAAATTGAACCAAATTTGTACAATATGATCTCAGGTAACAAGATATCTATTTGACGTAATGAATTGGTCATTCTTAACCAATCTGACGTTCTATCATCGTAAAGTGATGTGGATTTGTCACATAACATCATATTAACTAACGTCGAAAATACGTCATTATTTTCATATCATTAACGGCATAAATGACTGATGTTATTAATTCACTAATAACGTTACCAATATGTCGTTTATTAGTCATTTATCCGACGTCAATAAGTATGATGTTGTAAATAAATGACGTTATTAAATGGAAAAAAGATTGTCATTATTACATCTTAAATAGATCACGTCAATAATTCAAACTGACTAACTGTCAACGTCAAAATGACTATAGTTTACAACTGGGATGTGTACATAAACATATATGTATGTGTATGCATATGTATATTTTCCTAAATAGCAGAGAGATTTGAGCATTTTTACAAAAACATGAAACATTATATATTGAGAAAATTTCTTATTGAAAACGGACTCAGAATTTTTTGGTTCAATTTATTAGAATTTTAACTAAAATAACTGGAATTCTGGTTGATATTACATATATTTATATATATATAGAAAATATTTCTGGTAAAATCTAGTAAAATTTTTATTTTTACCACAATAATTGTTGGTGCATTTTCCAGCAAGAGACAGTATAACAATAATCTTTTTTTAATATTGGCAAACAAGAAAGATATTATGATTCATTGTGTTAGGCTAGTATTACATTTATCGTATAGAAAGATTTTAAATTTATTGATTGACTATAGGATGGAAAGATCCCGATTTCTTTTTCTTGCAGCCAGTCAATAGGCTTGAAATGTCATATGACAAATGTAGTATCAGCCTCAGGCCGACAAATTTTTCATATTTGTTGATTGGCTGTAGGATAGAGAGTTCCAAGGACCTCTCTGTCCTGCACATATTTGTCATATAATAAAAACGCACAAATGAAATAGCACTATGTCATCTGTGTACTAGAAAGCATCCTATAACAATCATATACTTACTATAAGATTGCCTTGAGGAGAAATGTACCTATTATTTGATTGTTCCTTGTTCGTTTGCACTTGTTCAAATACATTCTGCGGAACATCAAGTATCCCAGCTGTTGTATAGTCGAGAAAGCCACAAAAGGATAAAAGATACACGAACACTCGCATTACAGAGTTAGACGAATAGTTTCAATGTCCAAAAAATAGTTGGAACAGGATTTCTAGGATATCTCAAAGAAAATAACTAAAAATAGAAAACAAAGAACAGCGTAATTAGCTGAACTCTTCTTTAATTTTTTCTTTATGAAATATTAAATTCTAATATGAAGAATCGTGCGTTGATGATTTTTCATTTTTTTATGCAGGAAAGGAAATGTTAATCACATTATGTTATTAGCTACACGGTGATAAAAAAATGATAAAAGATACACGATTATGGTGTGCAGATACAGAATGTTCCATTGTTTTAATTGCCTCAGGCAACTATCTTGAAAAATAAGCTATGAGAAAAAAACGTTTCAAGCAAAAGTCGTATGGTTTAAAGGAGGACAAATAATGGCAAAATCAATTTTTAAAAAATCAATGGTAAATGTTCAGAAATGGTGCTCCCTCAACCGCGGTTTTTTTTCAGTGAACAAAACTAGTTACAAAAAGACATGTATACCATTAAGTTTTAAGAGAAGGCTTGTGGTTTTTATGAGAAAAAATGCTATTTTAAAAATGAATAAGACAGTTTTATTTTTCTTGAAATGATGTAAAGTTTTTTTAGTCTTATTATATTATCATCCATATTAGTCATGAGATCGGAGTAAATCATTCGCAAAGGTGAAAAAAAATGCATGGACACTCCACTTTCTCCTCCATTAAGGAGTGGTCGATTTTCCACACAAAGCGAGATCCCATCAATTTTTTCCTAAATAGGTGGGGAGTGAAATACCAAACTATTCCAAAACACTATGAGCAAAATTATTTCTATGATTGAAGATTCATTAAAAAAATTTGATGTCCCATTCGTCTCTTATCTTTATTATTAAGGACATAATATTATCCAAATTGATCTCAAATCTTTTTCTTCATTTCATAAATAGTATACGAAATCAAACGCGTAATTGCTTCAAACGAAGTTTCGATGATTGAATTTAGGCAACAATACTCTGTATAAATTCAATATATTAGCAGATTATAAAACCTTTACCTTGAAAAAATATTATGAGTTGTAATCCGTTATCTTACTGCTAGGCGGTTTTGCAGTGAAGAGCTCACATTCATTATTAGGCAAATGAAAATTTATTACTATATAAAATTTGAATAATATATGAACATTCAATGAAGTTTGTGACAATGAATACAAAAATATTAAATACAAATCTTCTTTTGCATTTAACAGACACATTAAATACAGTGTTTTCGCTAAGATCGCACAAGTGACTGAATTCAACTTTGCCTGATCATTACATCATTGATGAGAACAGGTAGGAGAGACTAGAAATGAAAGTAACATTTTATGTAGATTGTATGACAAATTCCATCATGTTCTAACATACTTCTGTTATCATACTCATTTCAACGAACGTTGGAAGAAGCTACTCAGACAACAAAATGTGTCTAAAATCGGATTAAGACGTTTTTTGCATCCAAAAGACGATTTAAAGATGTCTTATATCACAATTTTTGATATGTTGTTTGAATACAGACTATTTTTTATGCTCACGCATTTTAAGAGAGGATTCTGATCTAGAAACTTGATTTTTAGATTATTTTTACAAATTTTTTCTGAAAAAGGTCTCTTCAAATCAGAGCACACGACCATGATTGCGACTGTTCTGCTCGTGAAACGAAAAAACCAAAGAGATTCTTAAAGTGTATGAGTTTGGTTATCGTTTGATCTATAATAAAAAAAAATATTAGAAAGAAAAAAATGGCGTCATTTTGAATATTATTTTCCGATTTTTTCGAATTTTTTCATCTTTAAAGTGCTATAAAATAAATAAAAATAAACATTTTGACTTTATTGTAGTTTAGATGAGAACTATATATGCGCTAAAGATGATCACCGCAAATTCTAAAAGATACTTGAAATATGTACTAATATGTAGGAACAATCTTGATTTGAATAGACATTATAAATTTTTCAGAAAAAATTCTTAAAAATAGCTTAAAAATCAAACTTTTAGACCAGAATGCCCTCTTAAGCATTGATGAGCATCGCTTAAACTTAGTTTTCTCGTCGTATGTGCTCAGAGAAAGATAAAAAACATTTATGACGTCATCTTGACGTCATAAATGTTACTCACAAGCATTTCGTCTATCGAGATAGCGTAACAAAAGCGTGAGCACTTACAGACGCTTATGGCCAAAAATAAACGCAATGAATGCTCTCGTATTAAATATACATGTAAAAGTTATGTACAAAGATAAATGATGATATGATTGAACTTTGGTTATATGTAGAATCCTAGAAAAAAACGGATGCGATATTGTGTCGAATTGAGTTAAGTCACCGCCTAGTCACTATTGTTTTTCAGCGTAGTGCTCATAAGCTGATATTTTACAAGAAAATGGTTAAGCTGCGTGGAAAAGAAAAAAGTATTTATTTCTTAAATAAAATTACTTTAGATATTTTTCTGTTGTTTTTATATTATTTCTAGTTTTCTTAATAATATTAATTAAAGTATTTATTAATAATATATCTGAATTATTTAATAAATCAGAATTTTCAATAAAATTTGATCCAATTTCTAATGTATTAGTTATATTCTTTTTTGTAATATTTGTTGATGTAGTTATGAAAACTTTTTTTATCCGAAAATATTAAAAATTAAATAAAAAAACAAGGATTGTATTTTTATTAGAATAATGATGAAAGAATTCAGACCCAAGACATGTATAAAAACATCAGAAAATAACTTACAAGACTATCAATTAATGCAAATAAATATGTATTACAGATATACTATTATTATATACTATTATTTTACTTGTATATGATCATTAGGGCAATCAAAATTATGCTGTAAAAATTCCTTTTTTAAGCGCCTAAAATATGCTCTATGAAATTGAAAAAATGCTCTAAAGAAAGGAATATATGCATTTGAAAATTACTTTTTCGCACAAATTTTCAAAATATTAAGTTTTTTATTTAAAATAACAAAATAAAATGAATTTGATAAAATTTGTATTTTTAATAAAAAATTTAATTAGTCTTATGGGACATTAAAATTAAACAAATACATATGTATTTACAAATACATATTAAGCAAAAAATTTAATTATTTCAATTTATATTTCGATTATACAGTAAACATTTGACTAAAGTTTTCGAACAAAAGACTTTGCCTATTTGATCGTAAAATATTATACATTGAAAAACTTTGTTCAACATCAATAGAAGTTATAGGTGCAAATTTAAATGCTAATATTTCCTTAATTATTTATGTTTTTTGTATCATCGGAAGATACTCCAGTCAAGTATGCTGAAATTGCTTTTAAAATAGCCACTATTTTTCTAAATGATATTGCTAATTTTCAAAAATATAAAATATATTATAACATATTCTAATTGAGAAAAACTTATCTTAGGAATCCTATTCGTTATTATATCGGAAAAGAAACTAATCATAAACTTAAATTAGAAAACAATATAAGATGTAAAATAAACAGTAAAAATAGATAAAGTATGTAAATATTGTGCACGTGTGGGGGAAATATACAAAAATGCTCTTATGTGTTATGAAATATGCAAAAATATGCTGTAATATATAGGGTTTAAAATGCATAATTTCTTATGAAACAAATTTATATTTAATTTATTTCTTTATTAATCAAATAAAAAATGCCCTTTTGATTGACCTAATTATCATACTTGTACATAGTCATAATAAATAGATAAATGTAATTTATTTTTTTCTGTCTGTAATATATAAAACATTTTCATTAAAACTTTCGACATTAAAAATTTCAAAATTAGAAGAATATCAAAAGACGATAGTGTCATGGTGCTAAGAAGACGCGTTTAATTATATCTTGAAATCGACCGTATATATATCTTTACGTGTTTGTAATCATTCGTTCATGCGCTCAATTCTTCACGCAACATATTCTGATGCGTATCTTCGCATAATACGAGATAATTATATAAATAAATCTATTTCGAAAAAACTTTGCGTACTTAATAATCACGGAATTTTTTATGACGTATGACTGAACAATACTGACGTAACGTCTTAACGACATAAGGAAATCATAGTGTCAAGATTAAAGGCCAATAGCGGAATGACGCAGCAAAATTGTACATATTTCTTACAACAGCACTAGTTGTATTATGCAAAAAGTATAAAGCATATCTTGCACTTATATATAAATTACATTTATTATTTTATATACAAAAATTGAATTAATATCTTGCAAAATCTATCAAGGCAATATTTTATATGACCTTGAAATATTGTTTTTTTCGAAAATGAGTCTGTTGAGATTTTTTATATGTATATGTAAAGAAAAAAAATGCGTGATATAAGTGATTAATAATTGACTTACCTTTTTAAAGAAGATAGAAAAAAGTGCTAAGAATACATTAATTTTGAAAAGAAAACTATTGTACCAAATTAAAAGATAAACCCAAGTAATACTATTTTTATTGTGTACTTAATTTTAATAAAACTCAAATGGTATTATTTTTATTATTGATTCTATAGCTTAATTTAAAAAAACATAAAAGAAAACGTTAAAACGTACGTGCTCCTCGAAAAAATTATTGTACCCAATTATAAAACCCAAATTATATAATCCAAGTAGTACTATCTTTATTATTAACTTAACTCTTACGGTATCATTTGTATAAAATATTTGAAATCAACAACTGGCGCCAAATTATAGTCCATAAAATTTTATGCATTATTCGTCATAAAAGATTTGATATTAACAATTGGAGCCAAGTTTATATATTATAAAAAGTTTTTCTATTTGAATTACATTTTTTCATTTTCTACTGTTATTTTTTTAATTTTTTGTGCTAACATTTGAATTAAATAAGATAATGCAATTTTGTGATATAATAATGTATTTAAGGAGAATTAAATAACTACTACTTTGAATGGAAGAGAAAATTTTTAAATAATTTTAATGTACTAAACTTCATCAAAAATATACTTGACGCTACCGCGTCTCTTGGTAGCATCAAATGACAAATTTCACCTAACAGAATCTGGAAAGTTACTTTTTGAAAATAACTGATTACCTCGATACCAAGTAAAAAAATAACTTATAGTTACCGTTACTATTACTTAAAAAATAATGAGAATAGTCGTTATTTTTTTAATGTTGAAACAAGATCAGTCTAAAAGTTTTGCAATGTTTTGTTTATGTATTACTGAAAACAATAAACAATAGTAACACTAGACCGATATGTAAAAACACAATTAAAAGAGATACTTTTTCCGAACTGGAAATTCGTACATAATATTTTAGAGCTTTATACATACATATATCCAATTTTTCAAATTTAACACCAATTAAATTTTTGATCTTATAATATAATCCGAATAAAGTGCGATATTTTATAATAAATTTTGTACATGGTATCACTTTTATCAAATTTAAATATTGGTATTCATAACAAGTTTGTTTTTATGTTAATACAACTCTCAATATAATTTTATGAAATTCTTAAGATATTATAAACTAATTACAGAGCCATTTTATAGCATCTTAAGATGTTATTTAAAACAATCTTGAAGTATGAACAAATTATTAAAGCTAAAAATTGAAGATTGAATGTATATAAAATTATTGTCGTAAATAGATTCAAAATATAAAAAGTAACGATAAGAGTAAACTAAAATCGTTATTGTCATCAAAAAAATATGATTATATTACAGTTAAAAAAAAAATGTAACGCCGTTTCCAGTCCGTTACAAAAAAGTAATTATAACTGCGCGGTGTTATAAGTAACGATCAATTACTTTCAATCCCTTTGTAATATTAGTTGCTTAACATCTGTGTTATTAGATTTGGTCACTAGGTCGAATTTCCATACTTTGTTTGGTCCAATTTCTGAGACATAAAGGGCTCTACCATAAGGGCACACAGCAATGGCGTGAGGCATAGTGAAGGTCTAAAAAAATACAATATATTCTTCTTATATATAATTAGAGACTGGTTATTTTAATTCTCAAATATATTAGAAATCTCTAATAATGTAGAGGAATTATTAAAAAAAAATATGAAATATAATACTTACTGAAGACTCCGGGTTCCAAAATTCAATTACATTCCGATTTATAGGATCAACGGTGAAACCTCTAATTTGTATATTTTTAAATGTCATTCCATTCACGGCATAAATTAAACCATCTGAAATTATATAATGTAATAAAGACATTTATTGTTGATTTGTAGTGCTATTATTGTTATCATTATATTTTATACTTAATTTGTTATACAATTATTAGAGGAAAGGCTCCTATTATGAGATACCGAGTTCATTTTGGGTAAATGCTAGTAGTCTATGGGCAGAATTTAAAAAAATAATAGGTCATTATGAAGGGAATTTAATAAGCTTTAAGATAATGTTATATAAAATTTAATTCAAATTTCATTTTATTTGAAAATTAAAGAAATGTGAGTAAATCGTAAAGTCAAAAAATTGTGCTCCTAATATGAGATGCCCCGAGAAATCGATAGTAAAACGCAAAATATATTATTATTGTAACTAAAAACTTTATTTAATGTTTCTTAAATACAAACAAACACAGCCAGGATGCGCGAAAAAAATGAGTATGCGATATATTCTACCCAGAACTCATCTTTAGGTTAAAATCAAGCAGAAATAGGCACTCGACGTTCATTCTGGTTGTACTTTTCATTATTGTACAATAACATTTATTATTTTAGCAACAATTTTCAGTATGTCATGGAAGCAGGTTATTTTATATTAGAAATACCCTGGGTATCTCATATTACGATTTCCACGCCTTACGGTCTTACGATCATCAAATCTAACTTCTGTAATTAAGCAATTCAACAATCCCATATTTTTCTATTAGTATAACCTTACTCTATCACTACACGAAGAATTTATTACCAAATATTTATTTTATTAAATAATAAACAATGTTTAAAGGCTCATCTCAATGAAACTTTAAAATATCCAAATTCTAAAATCTTTTTTTACGACGACTACAGGCATGATCTACTAAAGAATTTTCTACTAAGTTTTCAATCCAAGAACAATAAATTCATGGTGGAATCAATAGGTAGCGTCTATTAGTTTAGCAGAAATGCCGCTATCTCATATTAGACGCCTATCTTATAATAGGGAACTTTTCTATATATTTAATTTTCATGTTATATGTTATATAATATATTATATAAATTTCATATTATATGTTATATAAATATGTTTGTAATTTAACTTTTATTTTATATGTTAAATTTGTTTCGTAATTATTCATTTTATTCTAAGTTTGATCTATTTTTATACTGTTTTGTTTCGCTTTTGCGCTTTTATAATTGTAATTTTTTATTCTCTCTTTCTGGACGTTAGAACAGCAAATTTTGCTAGTGTCTTACCATTTTATGTACTCGTGCCTCTAACTT